AAAAAAAAAAAAAAAAAAAAAAGAGCAAAAACCAGAGATTGGAGTTTACCTCCCAGGTGGTTTGATCCTGAATTTTAGGATCTTACACAAGGCAGTTGGAATTGCAGGCAAAAAAAATCAGGCCACGATGTATATGGAAGCTCTTGAAAGTGCTGCCTCCCACTTATATTTAATTACAGGTGTTAATAGGATAAAATGCTTAAGTTGTGACACGTGCACTTCTTGCCTAGTAACGAACTTTAAAGTAAAAGGAGCTGGTGTGGTGGCTCACACATGTAATCCCAGCACTCTGGGAGGTTGAGGCAAGCAGATGGCCTGAGCTCAGGAGCTGGAGACCAGCCTGAGTTAAAGCGAGACCTGGCTCAGGAGTTCGAGACCAGCCTGAGCTAGAGCAAGACCTCGATGAGATCCGGTCTCTAAAAACAGCCGGGCGTTGTGATGGGTGCCTGGAGTCCCAGCTACTCAGGAGGCTGTGGCAAGAGAATCGCTTGTGCCCAAGAGTTTGAGGTTGCTATGAGCTATGATACCACAGCACTCTACTGAGGGTGACAAAGTGAGACTGTCTCAAAAAAAAAACAAAAAAAACCCCCAAAACTACAAACAAACAAAAAAGGATATAAACTAATCTTTCAAAAAGTCATATCACTCTGCCCCACTATATACCCGTGGAACACACTTTTGCGGATCTGCAACTCTATTAACCACAAAGTACACTGTTTTTTAGCCACATCTTATAGATGGGATAGCTATACCAACTTAAAGCCTGGAATTTCTCTAGAATGTAGTTAGCCCAGGGCAATGTGTCTTCCATTTAGAAAATGTAGTAAAACCCTTTGTAATACAAATAGCTTTCTTTTTAAGGACAAAGGTTATAAATAGTGAAACGTTCAGTGAATTGGCCAAATCTAACACTACCATCCAATAAATACAATGCTAACAAATTCCAGTATAAAATTAGACAATGCCATATAATTCATACTTCAGCAGCCTGCAATGTCACTAAAATACAACCACTGCTGGGTTGGAAGGCTGTTTCTAATTTGCTGACTGATAACTGGGTGAGGACAATGTTAGCCAAGGGCAGGAAAATGGTGAAAATTGCTATAGCTACTTCTGTAAGCGGCCTGTTAACAGATTACAAGTTCACAAGGTTAACTAAAAGTTATTTGGGTTTATCATTCCACACTTAATGTAACATCAAGTTGAACCTGTTAAGACAATAAGTGGCATCCCATCTTGATTCCTCACTGCTTTTATTCCCTACTCTTCACAGACAACCGCAACTCTCCCTAAACTATTTTCATATTCCAAACTATTGTTTGTCAGGTACCTGTGTTAGATTAACTGTATAAGAGAATGGTATCACCTATAAACATGGTAGAAAATGCTCCCAAATTGAACATCCTTACTTACTCACATTTAGGAATACTCTTTTCAATTTAATAGTCTTGATTTGACCAAGACAATTCAGGGGTTACCATCTTTATATTACTTTTCATAGTGACAGCTTGAGGCTCTCTCTCTCTCAAAAAAAAAAAAAAAGATTGCTGATCAAACTTCAAACCTAAGAAACATAATAAAAACTGTGTACTGTGATTTCTTTTTTTTTTTTTTTTTTTTTGAGACAGTCTCACTTTGTTGCCCTTGGTAAAGTGCTGTGGCATTACAGCTCACAGCAGCCTCAAACTCTTGGGCTTAAGCGATTCTCTTGCCTCAGCCTCCCAAGTAGCTGGGACTAAAGGCACCCACCACAACGCCTGGCTATTTTTTGGTTGTAGTTGTCATTGTTGTTTGGCAAGCCTGGGCTGGATTTGAACCCACCAGCACCATGGTGTATGTGGCTGGCACCCTAGCTGCTGAGCTACAGGCACCAAGCCATGTGTACTGTGATTTCTCAATATAAAAACATTTACCCTATAATAGAAATCTAACACATTCCTCCATGAACCACACTGGGATAGAATAAAAATGAATAGATCTCTAACTTGTTAAAACAATGACGTTCAGACTAGTCGCAGAAGGCTGTCTTTTTCAGTATCTCCATGTAATCAGATGTATGCTAACAAAGTATTTGCTGATAGCTTTGAGACTGGAGGAACCTCTTATACTAAATTCCTCCAAAAGTTAGAATTTAAGTAACTAATCTTAGAGCTCTCTTGTTAAACAATGATTCCTCTTCTGCTGCTATAAAACTCATTTAGCAATTTAAGGGCCTCCAACATTTTGATTTATTTTGTGGGAAACTTTCTTAACACCAGGTCTCTGCTGCATATAACTGAAGTCATAACATTTTTAGTGCCACATATGGCAAACAAGGCCCCAACTGTCCAATCTCCAGTGGACAGTTGGGGCCTTGAGTGATACCAACTTGAGTATTGAGCATGATGTAACTAAAGAAAATAAAAATACAAAAACAGAATTACATACATCTAAGTACACTAATTACGTATATTACCTGGTTCTCTACTTCACTATTCATCATAACTTGAATGAATTCTAGAGAGCCTCATGGTCCAGGAGTCTTCTTGCATTTTTTCTTTTTTAAGAGACAGGGTCTTGCTCTTACTTAGGCTAGTCTCAAACTCCTGATCTCAAGTAATCCTCCCACCTTAGCCTCCCATAGTACTAGGATTATAAGGTGAGGCACTGTGCTCAGCCTAGTTTGTACCTTTTTCAGAGCTATTCCCATCCTAGGTGAGCTATAAAATATATTTATATAAATTTGCAGTATTTCAGGCAAAAAAGATCAATATATAATTAAGCACTAAAATTCTAGAATCAAGTAAATTTTGAATACTTAATAGGTTCTCTGTCAGTGTTTTTTTTTTTTTTTTTTTTT